TAATACGCAGATACAGCTTTGGAGTGTCTACAGGCATGTTTTGACCTTTTAGATATTCTCAGATCCCACTCTATGTTCCTGTTGCGCAAGGTGTAAGGAAACAGAAATCTCTTTGGGTAACACCGTTTTGGTACAGACACTCCACTTTGCATACTACACCCTTTCCCTTTCCTTGTTATTCTTCCTAGATCAATATATAGAGAAGTGAATTCTATCAGACGCTGTGGATGGCTTACTGAAAACAAGTGGGTGCAAGGTAGCGAGAGCAATTGTATGACTGATACTGTGACAAAAACAAAATGTCCCTAATGGAGAACTTTTCAGGAAAAGTTAAAAATGCAAGCAGAAACAATTTTAATTGTAATCCTCCATGACAGACATATTTAAATATAGTCAATTAGAGGCAACAATTTTGTCATTTGCAAAAATTCAATCCAGAGAAAAGCTTAGCATAAACAAGATGGGAAATGGAGAACCACTGTTTAAGTCTTAAGAATGTCCTTGTCTTCTGACTTAAAGCTGGACAAGCAAATCTGTAAATAAAAAGTTACCCATCTCAGCCGTAAACGATGTTATTTTGATACTCAATTTCATCTGGCAATAAAACAAAGTATCTAATATAATTGGAGCAAGGTGAGGTCTTCTTGGTTATTGCCGCATGCCTACCTACAATTCTAGATTTGTCACAAGGAATTCCCTCAAACTTTTGGTTAATGCAATGAAGAAATGTACCATCAACAGTCACCAGCACAACTTATCATGGGATAATGAAATCTATTTTAATCAATGCATATCAGTCACTGGAGGGACCTTGTTCAATGACTCACTGAGCAACTTTGTCAATCGGAGAAGTAAATTTTTGCTGCCTTACCCTACGGTCCCTTATTTCTCAAATCCAAACTATGCTTCGCTTAAAGGAAAATTGGATCAAGTTAATTTTCACTGCAGAAGTGTTTCAAATTCTAAATTATTACACTGCACATATTCAGTTTAACTCCTTTTCTGTCCCGTGAACACAAAAAGGTTCATTTCATTCACAGAAATGCAGAAGTGCCAACAAACTGCCATCATTAATTTCAACCTGCATTAGGTTCAGTTACAAGCTAGAGCTACCAAGTTCAGAGTCAAACTTTCCTAAAATTTGTGAGGTTTCGTTTGGAATCAATCTTACATCATTTATACATTATACTCAGCTGCTCGATGGCACCTAGGAATTGCCTATTCCATCCCATTACTCCTTCTGGAAAGTAAGTTTCTAATGCTAAGCCTTTTTTTCTTCCACTGCTCCCATTTTAAGGAATGCTTTATTTGCATGAAGAGAAAACCCTCTCCCCATTTTCCTATAAACCTATAGGGCTGTGCAAAACTTGCATCTCTTAGTTTAGGAGTTTGTAAAGTCTGAATATTTGTTCATAAGCACCCTACTGAACGTGGAGCCTCAAGTCTGCCATGTCCAGCTTATTTTTTTCTGGGGTAGATCTGCGGCCATCAGGAGCAGGTGGTCCCCTTGCCTTATTACGGCAGGATGGAAAAAGAAATGGTCGGCTTGCCTCCTGGGGGTCTTCACACCGGGCTGGCTAACACGTATCGGCTGCCGCAGCTTCCCTGGAGAGAGGAGCTGCTACGTAGCTTCCCCTCAAGCTTCTGGCTCGATACCATCAACACAAACGAGTATCTGGTTGGTCATGCAGGTCTCCACAAGTTGCAGGGACTGACTCAAGAGGCTGAGGCAAACGTACGCTCCTCACAATGCAGAACTGAGGAGTTCTTGGTGACACAGGGATATTTTACATTCAATTTTGTATTCCAGAGTCATTGTAAGAGTCCCAAAACCCACCAGTGCAACTACGCCTCAAGGTAACCTTGCAACTAGGCAGAGAAAAGAGAGGAAGATGCTAAAGCCCTGCATCTCCTCCAGACAGGATCCTGCAAAATCCTCCCGGTCCTGACAGCCTGGCACTGACACGGTGAAATAACACTCACTAAGTTTCTATATACTGCAGAGAGGCACCGGAGGAATGTGTAGATGGCATCACAGACATTAGCTCAAACAGCAAGAAGTCAACATTAATCCAGTTGGCTTTGATTAGGGCTACAGAAGATCCCATTTTCAGAGCGCAGGAAGTTTTCCTATCCAAAAAAGACTTAACGGTGTCTTAAATTACACAGTGACTTTGCTGCAGGACTCCAGGAAAAACAAAAGATATGGTCTACTCGGTGTTAACCCTTAATAGCCATAGGAGGGAAAAATCCACTAGTTTGACTGAATCTGTAAGTATGTTAAAAAAGTTACATTTAAGTAACCTTTAGTCTGACATTAAATAGCAATCCCTGATTAATTTTTTTAAATGTCAATTTTCAAAATGAATGTCAACTCTGCTCAAGAATGAGCTTCAGTGTTTTCCCTTACTTTAAAACAAGGGTGGTACTGTAACTCGGAACAGTATTTCAGATGGTAGAGGGAACTATCACTATTTAAGCTCAGTTTGTCTGAATTAGCGAGAAGCTGGACTAATGTTTATGATGCATTTCTTTATAACTTATGAGGAAATGTACCATAAAACTTTCTCTGCCTCTCTCCCTCCCTTACTGTAACAGCTTTCAGTATATGGTTGCTGCCTGTCAGTTATTGCCCCCAAATGTAACATGGTGCCAAAATTTTACTGCAAGTATTCGTTAGGCACGTTTCAAAAAAGTTTGCAGTAGGGACATTTATATATGTTTCCTTTTGATAGGATGTGCAGCACCATAGGTTTTGCTGCTTATATGGTATGCACAGCAGAAATGGATTTGACGGATAGGTGTATATGAACAAATAATATAAAAGTCTGTCTACTTCCTGGCAAAACACACATTTGTGTGCTCTGACACTGAGCATCTTCATTTACCTGTAGGTCACGGAGTGAGCCAGGCCCAGTGCACTTGCCATCTACAAAATTAGTAGTCAAGTGCCTAGAAATCTCACTTAATTTTGCACTGAAAAATCAGCCAACACCACTCCCTAGGCAGAAAGCAGTAAATACTTAAAAAACTGAAAACAATGGGAAGTCCAAAATCAGGATCGCTGCTTATCCTTACACAGAGATCACAATCAGGCACAGTGACTTCTTTCAGATTAAGGAAAAGCGGTAAAAAGAAATACTGAGCAAGAAGTCCGCGGGACAGAGAGCACAGGAACACAGAAACCCCAGGTGCCCCACCTCCGTGGGACCAGAGGTGCATGCAGAGAGAGGCATCGCTTTTAAGTTCAGCAGTTACAGGACAGGGGTTATGTGGAGTGCCCTGCTCCTTGTATGATCAAAGCCTGAGTATTCACCGGTACATGCCTTGCCGTGGATCTCTCCATAGACCGCCCACAGACAGCACCAGGGCTTCCCAGAAGCTGGCAGGATCTGAAGGATGGCAAGATTCAACTACAGGGGATAAAAGTGAAAGCCCTATCGCCAGACAAAAGAGCTGAAAAGTTTTTGGTTTCTTTAACCAGGGAGAGGAAGGAACATATGATGAGAATTTTAAATAACGTGTATGTATTCAAAATAAAAAGGAAACAATTAATTTAGTCATGCTCAAATGTGAATATATATTCACTTCTACTTCATGAATGAAAAGAAGTGTTTTATTTTCTCTCAGTCTTTATAAGGGCATCAACAGTAATATTTCCAGCTGGCCTAAAACAGGTTTTTCTTCACATTTTTCATTGGCAAGCTAGGACTAAATTATCCTCAGAGCTCTGCTCAACCAGTACGTTATTCCCTTTGTCCTGAGAAAACTGCTGGACCCATCTTACATCTTTCTACCTCAGCCATAGGAAGCACTCCAATGGACTTAGAAAATGCCTTTTATCAGCAAGACTGAAAGCAAGCACTTTGCCAGGCGGCAGTAACTTTGCCAGCTCGGGCGAATACAGCTGATCAGACCCCAAGTCCCCCCCTTCCTATTAGCCCCTCTTTCCTCCTGACTCCCAGCCAGACCTCACCCTTTGTGGCTGGGCTTCTTCCCCCCGTCCCTGCCACCTACCTCCCTTCCCCTTCCCCGGGCACTCGGGAAAGCAGTTACAAAAAGGAGACGTAAAACTTCGGTTTGATAATTGCTTTTTAATGAAAAGCACAATTGCTAGAAGCTTAAAAGTGGCATCACTGAACAAACTGTCAGAGTTTCAGTCTGTTTTGATGAAGAGAGTGAATAACTTTTGTTTCGAAGGTTACATGGAGTGGTCTGTGCAGCACACAAGGACATATCGAGATCTGCCTCTGTATGCACACTGGAGTTAACACAGCATCCAGACTGAATGCTACAGTGCCCAAGACTAAGAGTTGTCTGGGTTTTTATTTTATTTTATTTAATTTTTACACACTGGCTAATGGGTCTGCATCAGTATAGAGAATCCATCAGGTGAAAAAAACCCCATTTTTTTTTTCTTTCAGATTTGCCCTCCTTTATTTACAACAGTGGCAAAATAACTTCAATCAAAATGAGGTTAAGATTATTTTTAACAGATGTTCACTGCTGGCCTGACCCAAAATCCATTGACGTCAATGAGAAGACTCCATGGGGCTTTGGATTGGGTTCTAATTGTTGGAAAAATTAATGTTATTCTAAACCACTGGTCAGTGCTGTCACATGCTCCCCTTCTGTGCCAATTCTATATGACCGGATAACAGACTCACAAAAATCTGTTCCAACTGTTGGCTTAGAGGCTAAAGGACACAGAGGTTTATCTTTTTAATTCCGAAGCACCCCCTGCTCCTCCCCTCCCAGCACACCCCATGGCACTACTGTATTTACTTGACAGACTCAGCATTATGGACAGTATTCATACAATCAAAACATTTCACAGTCAAACACTGGGTGGAATAACAGAATTATTAATGCTGACTGTATGAAGACGGCTGACCTATAGATATGTATGAAATGAGATACTTTGGTTCGTATACTTTCAATACAGATTTTTATTTATTCATTTTTTTTAAATACAGACGTGAAGGAAGGGTTGCACTTACTGTTAAGAAGACGGAAGTCTATAAACGGGTAGGAGCCGCGGCGCTCGGAGAGAACCCCTGTCTGACCTCTCACCCGTGCATCTCCTGCAAAACACAAAACCCCCAGAGACGTTAGAAAGGGCAGCTGCCCTTCCCTGCTCTTTACATCTAGATCTATTTTCTATTCAAAGTGATGACGTTACGCTCCTCCAGTGGGAAAACTAAGGTCCAAAAAATCATCTCCCATGACATCCCTGGCTAATTGGGTAAAGCAGTACAGCTGATCCTCTTACCAGAACAAAGGCACAAACCCCCCCATGTTTATTCTATTGAACATCTTCTCACCCAGTAAGTAGACTCTCACTGCTTCAGTAGTGTAGAGGTCCAGTTTTTTGCCCAGACAAGACCAGTTGGCTTCTGACTGTCATGGCATCACACACAAAGGTCTCAACCTTGGACTAGGCTCACAGTCCAACTGACCTCCAAAGCTGTGGGACTGGTCTCAAAATCGTAAGTTGATGAAAAAAATCCCAAACAAAATATGAAGATTTTTTTTAAGGTTTTTGTTTGTTTGTTTTTGTTTTACTTACTGCTCTTTGAGCATTCTGGAAAATGTCAGCCTTCTCCTCAAACACCGAAGCTGCTTTATTTAAGCAATCCTGATGTTCTCAGATAAGCATTACTCCAGAGCTTTAGAATGTAAATTTAAAGATCATAAAGTGACAACACAATACTAAGAATTAGTATCGCTGTGTAATTCACATTGATTAGTACCTGACTTACCATGTAACTTTGATGAAATAGGCAAAACTCATTCAAGAAGAAAAATGCTACTCGGGATGAACGAGAGTTACAAAACCTCACTCTAAGTAGATAGGAAGCAGTGGGAAGCAGATGTCATTTTTACACTTCCATAGCTTTACATAGCTTGTACTGTAATTTAATAATTTCTTTATAGGCAAATAACAAGACCAAAATATTTAAAAATCTTAAATAAGATGAATTTTGGAGATTTTAGAGGTTCAGGTTAGAGTACTCTAATTCTTCACAATACCAATTCCTCCTCTACAGAAACACAGGCCATAGTGCTGAAAGCATATCCACTGCACTTCCTCAGACAGCTCACACTGTAGGCCTCTCAAAGTTTGCAATAAAATTACGAATTATTAGTTAGTTTGAATTGTGCTTCCTCTGGGATACGAATATAGCATCTGACTAATCTAAACAAAAATTAAGAATTTGGCTGCTAGTGCTAGCTTCTACTGCTTGTGTTTAAAAACAAGAAAACATCTTGCAGCAAAAAAGAAGGACCTAGTTAGATGCTGTTATTTTTTTCTATCTGATGTTCACTTAAAATGTGCTTGCCATTATGTTTAAGGGAAGAAAGCCAAGTAGAACTATTAAGTTAAACATTCGAGTGGAGAAAAACTTCCGTGCCCTCTAGGGGTCCTTAGAGGTACGAAAGACACGGGAGCGTGCACTCAAATTAAGAATATTTCAAACACAGTCACTTTTGATTATAAATATAAATCTATTTTCTCTCATCCTTACTTTCGCTTTGCTTTTTTGTTTCCAGAGACAGAACACGTGTTCCCTGTAGTCAGCTCCTGCTTGCCAACCGCTGGCTCTAAGGAACCAGCCAAAAACAACTCAAGCTGTTGTTGACCCCACTTACCCCTCCTGATAGCTGGGGCAGGAGGTGCAAACCTCTGCCTGCTCTTCAGCTGTGGCCCTTCAAAGGTACGATAATAATAGCATGGGTATACCTTCATCAGCAGTTTAAAATCACGTGTAAGTTGTGGCAACGCGGTATATAAACCTATTCCCCTGCGATCCTTCTGTTAAAGGGCAGAAGGGTGGAGCAAACGGGTAAAGAGTTTGTAAAACACCGAAGATTCATCAGCACCCGTGAGTCAGAGCTCGTAAGGCAGCACCTTGCCTTAAAAGCACTGCTCTCCACCACAGGTAGACCCCATCAGATTGGCCGATTCGTGCAGAAAGAGTAAAGAATGGCAAGCATATGGTACACATTGTATAAACCCCAAAAAATCAGACAGGCTTGAGCCTGTCACTAATACAAGCATCAGCAAATTAAGTACGGGTGTAAATTCAGAGCATGCCTTGATTGAGGCTTTTGTTTTTCTGTACACACCAATGAATTAACAGGAAACTGCAAATAATCCCCTGCATTAACACACTGATAAACGTGTCACTCGTGACTAAATCAACAGATAATTTGGAAAAAAAGAGAAAAATTCAAACTCCAAAAATCTGAAAAAAAACCCCAAGACTTTACGATACTGTAAACCCAGAAAGGCTGATTTTCTTTCTGGACATGAACGAATAAATCATTAGATCAAAAGAGGTACCATAGTACTAGAGAAAAACAAAATCATACACAGTTACATATGGAAGAAACTGCCTAACTCTCATCTTAATAGTATAACCCTGAATTTTGATGAGGGGAATGTGAAAGGTAGGTAGACAACTGAAACAGAAGAAAACACAACATGGGCTTACCAAAAGAAGACCATACAAGATAACACCTGATACTGAATTACCTCAAATGAAGGTAAGAAGGTAACAAAGTGTACTGAAAGGAAACTTTTGCTTGGGAACAATTACTGCATGATCTTTAGAAGATTCATATTGGGAACGGTCTTCTTAAAATTTTTTATTGATGATCTTGGCATAGAATTAGGAGAACACTAATGAGATGTGATGATAACACAAAGCTGGGAGATACGAGGTGTATACAGCTACAGCTATTTTAAATAAACTTCACTGGTACCGTCGCCTTCTCTGCCCCAACTGCTCTATGGCCCAGCTACCTGCGACTTCCACTTTCATTTTACTGGTAGTCCAGCTTCCTCTCATGGTGCTGCTGATGCCTACTACAGAACTAAAGACTAGCCAACTCAGACACGTATGTACACTATTCAGGCAAGGTAATTCCAGTAAAGAGAGGGAAAGCAAGGGAGGTATTGATGCCATTAGTCAAAACACCTGGTGTAAGTTCATCTGAAATACTGTCTCTGAGAAAGCTGAATTCCTCCTGGAAGAAGTGCAGAGAAGAACCTCTAGGAAGATGATCAGGGCACTAAAGAGCCATTTCATAAAAGGAAAATCACTCTGGAGTAATGCCCAACGTGGGTTAGCAGCAGAGTGGGAAAAGAACCGTTTAGGTGATCAGAAGAATATCATTCTGAAGGAGATGACAACAACCGATGATGATGGCACTGAAAGAGTACCTGAAATGGTTAAGGACTATGCCTGGAGATTAATAAACTTACTACCAGTTCTGTGTTCTTCAAACTAAGAAAACGTGAATGAGTTTTATTTAACCAGCAAAACCGAGGACCTGAAGTCATGGAAAATTACTGATGATTTGGATTGGCTATTTGTGTCATTTTACATTTTTTACAGATAACAAAAGTTTGGGCTGTCTCTAGCACTATAGGAATCCATATGCAGAATAAATCTGCATCCCCACTGACTTAGTAAAAGCCACTAAAATCCTTATATTTGAGGATTATTAACTTTACCTTCAGGGAAGGCAAGTTTCTGATGAGTCAAAGATGTTATCAAGTAGCTCTCTACCTCATGAATCTGTTAGTACAAAATACTTCGCCAGGTGCCACCTAGTCTCTTTCTACATCATTACAGAAAGATTAGTTAGGAAGTGGCGGTGGGCTAAATCAACCACACCTACCTTCCTCTATTTTTTCTTGGCTCACTTATCTGGAAAACATTTATATTCTTCCCTATTACTTTTAATTACCTCTAAGTACGCTCAACGTGTTGAGATACTAAAAATAGGGATTGCGCCAGATGTACACCATACCACATGATTTTTAATTTCTGAGAGACGAGGGCCGTTAATGGCAACACACCGGACTCTCTTTTTTGCTTTGACAGAGGACTTTGAGGGCGACTTTCGTAAGACCGCCTGACCTTTACATCTCTTTGCTCTCCACCTTAAAATCAAGCTAAACAATTGTTCTGACAATTTATGCAATTAGCAATTTTAGATAAATAATCCTTTTTGGAGCGAAAGGAAGGATTCTGTGGAAACAGGGCAGGAAATTTTGACAGCTCATTGTGTTCCCAAGTGAAACAAACAGGGTGAAGGGAAACAGCAGGGGTACAGGTTCTCCTTGGCTGCATCGGGCTGAAGATGCAAGGCTGGAACATTTGCAGCCACGAACACGAAGGGCTGCACCCTCCCCAGAGCCAGGTTGCCACGAGAGCTTCCAGCAAGGACATCTCCCAGGGGCCACCGTGCTCTTGAATTTTACTTTGTCCTCATTAAAACAGACAAGAAAACAAACCAAACCAACCAAAGCAACCTACATTAGGTAACAGGAGCCTGTGTGGTGCATGCTGTCACTGACACGGACGACAGCTTATAGTCACGGGAAAATCGGATATGGGGCAAGAACCACGGTACTACTGCGGCCATAGCATCAGCGGGATTTCAAGATGGGCAGAAGGGTTAAGAAAAAAATGAGGCAGCTCTTAGCTGCCTGTCACATCTGGAGGAAAGAGTCATCTGCACCAAGGAAAACAACTTCTCCAAGACTTGCCTGAAATGATGTGGGATTCAATTTCACTGAGCAAGCACAACAAATTAGGAGAGAAAACAGGGCCACAGCTGACACAAAACAACAGGGCAGCTTCATGCAGCAGAAGTTAGGACCAGCCACCAAATTGTTGATTTTATTTAGTTCACAGCTCCATGTGGTAAGTGAGGAATACCACAGCAAATTCAAAAGAGTTTGCAAGTATTTATTCTAGTCAAGCTTTTCTACAATTTTCATCCAAATATTTCTTAAGCTGACTGTTTTAGGACACATGCTAGAGTGGCTGAGTACTTTCCATGGAAAACCGAGTGGCAGTAGTAAGGCCTCCCGTGGACTCCATGGAGCCCCTGGTTCCTTCACTATTTCAGTTATGAAAAGGCTTGGGATTTCTGAGATGAAGGAAGATGAGTTGTTGATGTTTTAGGCATCATCCTGGTTTTGGTGGAAAGCTTTCTAAAAGAGGGAAGTGTTGCTGTGTAGAAGTAGCAAACTCGGATGAAAAGTTAGGTTAAAAACAAGTAG